TGGCGGGGTGCTTTTAAGGTACTGATAATATTCCACTTCTGGCCCTCGTTGTCTGACTACGTGACAGGATGGTTTCCTTTATAGTTACTCGTTACATTATTAACTTGCTTTATGCATTTAAAATATATTCTACCATAAAAATACTGTAAATGGCTTTCTGAAAAGAAAAATTTTCCCAATAATTTAACTGAGGCAATCTTTGAAAGCACAAACCACCAATGTGGGAAAATAAAACACTGGTTAAATAGTTTCTCATGGGACCAGCAGTTGGCATGATGGCTATATCGCTGGACTCCCATGTAGTCAACCACAGTTCGAGTCCTGGACCCAGTGGCTTAAACTCATGCCGGCGCGTGTGTGCCCGAGATCCCAAGAGGAGAATGGAGGAGAAGGGACTATGGCTTGGCCATCCCCCTGGGGGGAGGGGGGATTTCTCGCTTTCTATCTCTCTGTCTCTTTCTGTCTTTCGGGCGAGAGAATGCGCCATACAGCAAAAACCTCTCCAAAAAAAGAAAAAAAGTTTCTCATAAGAGCTCACTTTCAAGTGTAGGAGTTAACAATTCTATACAAATATCCTTTTGTTGTATCTGAACAGAGTAAGCAGATCTTTGTCATAAACAAACTGGTGGACCAGGGAAAGAACTCTGTTATCTAAAACAGTATTTTGTGAATCATGAATTACCTATCTGTATGACCCTCTGGATTAAAAAGCAGTATAAGGAACTGAAGAAATGCAGACCAGATTGGAAATGTCTCTAACTTCCTCCTGGCCATTCCCCAGTTCCAGCTGTTTCCTCCTGTTATCGAGGTGGGTGGTGAGGTGGGTGGATCTTGCCCAGGAGGCTCAGGCAATTGTCACATAAGTAGGTGGCCCAGAGGGGGTCTCCTGAGTGCCATTCTGTCTCTCGGCTCTAAGGCACAGTCACTAACATTTTAAACAGATCAGGCTGCTGGAAATCCTACGCAGTACACACTTTTCTGGAGGTGTTCTTGCTGGGTTGTAGAGCTCTGGTTTTCATTCTCTTCATTGCAAAGCCACAAAGCTTAAACTCCAAGGTGCTTAGCTTCACAAAAAGCCCTTAAATCTGTGTTTTATTCTTTTAATTTCCACCATTATTCTGCTGTAAGATGTAAAGTGGGGCAAAAACAAGATGTATTCTGTAGCCACATGGGACCATCGTTTGGTGGCTTGATTCCCTGCAAGACTTACTTGGAAAGATATGACAGGGAAATGGTCATATAAAAGGTCATGCAGACAGCCTAAACCAAGGTAATTTAAGCAAAATATTTAACCTGGCTTTTGGAACTTCAGGTCAAGGGGCAGCAGGTAGATCCTACTTTGTTAGGCCACCCCCTCCCCACCTTTACTGCAACATTTTAATAAAAATAAGCTCTTGGATTTACCCAGTAAAGAGATTTTTCCGTCTATGCTTGTACAGAGTGGGGTCAGTAGTGGCAGAAACCCTAAACTTTCGAAATCTAACACACTCACTCCTACCCCTCATCCAAAAAAGTGGAAAGACTTGTAATACTCATTCCTGCTTTTTTTCACTCGTAATACTCATTCCGGCTGCTGCCAGAAGACATAGGGTCCAAAGGTCCATCAACAGAATTGTGGAATCTGCTTCCTTTTATCATTACCGCTGCTTTAATTTCATCCTCACCACTCACCAGGACAGGTTCAGGGCAGAGTTATGAGGCTTCTGGTCCTTTTATCTTAAAATTTCTTTTCCTAGTGATACACTTTACATTTCACGAGTTTTTGTCTCCTAGGATAACATCTGTAAGAAAAGCTACAAGAGGAACAATATTTATTTCGTTAAGGAAATAGCCTTTGAGTCAGACCTGAAACATTTTCCTGATGACGGTTAAGATGTATTGACGAACCACCTCGACCCGCTCTCCAAAGCTCCGAATGCAAGAGCGATTCCGAAAAGCAAAGCACAATGTCCCAGAGGACGGTTCCCTTCCAATCCTCCCACTCGTCCCGCCCGAACAGTCTTCCTGACGGTGGCTCCGTCCTCCCGCCCCAGTAATTCGCCTTCTTTTACACAGTAGCCTCCGGTTGTGTTCCATACGCAAGCCGCACCCCCGTTTCCTTTCACGGCCGGGGGAAGGAAGGAGGTATTACAACTCTCATCTTCACAAAGCGCTGGCACTTCCATCATCTCCGAGTTCCGCGAGAGCCACGTGACAGGG